CTTTCTTTCCACCTATTCTACAAGAAAGTCATGATGAGGTTTTTCCATAGTAGGGCTTTTGCATTCTTGAAAGGATGGTACGTTAAAGTCATATCCAATAAATCCTTTACCTCCCTAGGAAATGTGAGATGTCCTCCAAAGATATTGAGAACTTTAATCCAGAAATTCTGAGCATATGTGCATTGCATAAATAACTGACTTTGTGTTTCGTTGTCTCTCTTACATATTTGACACCAATTTGGAAATAGAGTCATGTAGGGCATTTTTTTTTTTAAGACTTTTACCGATGCTAATGGCTTTATGCGTGGCTTTATGCGTTACTTCTAAAAGGAAAAACTTCACTATTTTAGGGTATTTCTTTTTCATATTGTCTTTAGGGTAAAGTTTGATTTATTGCTTCTACTTTTTCCCCTATGTCTATCATCAAAGATTTTGTAAAGAAGACCCCTTCAATTCTAGGAAGCCATGTCAATGAGTCTATTTCATTTAACTATACAACTGGGACCTACTGGGGCAAGGTCGAGGCTCAATTCTGTTAATTATGTAGCTTCATTATCCTTTAGATTCCTACCAAGTTTGAGGTATCATAATTTGTTGACATCATTCCACGTTTCTTTGATTGTGACTATTTTGCTATGAGAGAGTCTATACAAAAGTTGATACCACAATAGGTCGGTTCAGAATGATGTGCCTCCTCCATCACCCACCATGTGGTGAATTTGATTGGTGATAAGGTTTTGATGTTTTTTCTTTTATGTACTTCCTGGCCCTTAGAAGAATAGGGAGGGAGTAGATTTTTACATGATGCAAGAGTGTATTTAGCTTTTACAAGTTTTCTCCACAAAGCATTTTCTTCGTGATGATATTTCTATACCATTCTGCGATGAGAACGTTGTTTTTCTTCTTTATCAAAAATAGACCGAGTCCTCCTTTTTCTACTAAGACGTTTATGATATTCCATTGAACATGTCATCTTTCCATAAATAGTTTCTGAAAGATCTTTCTATATCCGTAGCCACTTTTTGTGACATTTCGAATAAAGACATGTAGTAAGTGGGGAGATTGGATAGTGTGGCTTGTATTAGGGTTCGCCTTTCGAAGTATAACATGATGACCATGTTGATAACCTTTCTATTTTTTCTATAATAGTCTTCCAAAAAGGAAAAGGATTTGTGGTTTCCCTTTAAGGGTAATCCTAGATACATATTCGGTCATTCACCATTTTTCCAACTGTATCCGCTAGCAAATTCTTCAATAATCTCTATGCTAACATTGGTGCCCATAATCTCTATTTTTTGGAGATTGATATTTTGTCTAGAGATTCTTTCGGAGGTTGTTACTTTCTTGAATGTTTTTTTATGGAGGAGATATCCGACAAATCAGACAAAAGGATTGTATCATCCGCAAATTGAAGGTGATTGATTCTTAAGCATTGGTTGCCAATCTAAAAGTCCTCTACCTGCCATTCATCTTTGACCTTTCAGAGTAGGCGACTAAGGTCATCCATTACCATTATGAAAAAAAAATGGGGATAGTGGATCCCCTTGTTGAGACCCGTGTGGCATAAATATTCCCTCTCAATCTTCCATAAATATTCCCTCTCAATCTTCCATAGAGGATTATGGAAAAGTTTGTGGATGATATACATCCTTTTATCCACCTTCGCCATTTTGAGCTAAAGGCTTTTGCTACAAGAATGTTTTCGAGGAGAATCCAATCGACCTTGTCGAAAGCCTTTTCCAAGTCCAATTTTATGACATTTTTTGTTTCTTCCTTTCCCATTCATCTATGACTGCATTTATCATGAGGGATGCATCAAGAATCTGTCATCCCTCTATAAAAGTGGTTTTCTGCCAAGTAATCGTCAAAGGGAGAACCTTTTTAAAACGTTCCAATAGCACTTTTCCTATGATTTTGAATCGTTCGATTGTTAGACTTAGGGGCAAAAGTCTTTGACAGTGCAAGCATCCAGTTTCTGTAAAAAGTCTTGGAACACTCATGATATCGGCTCTCAGAATTTTTCAAGATTTATTAAAAATTCTGAGGTAAAATCATCTAGTCCTTGGAATTCTGCCAGAGCCCAAAAATTGTAACGCCTTCCTCACCTCTTCTTTGGTGAAAGCAACCTTGAGGGAGGCAGCTTGATGTTGATCAATAGGACTCCGATCAAGATCATGGGGAAATTCGACGACGGAATCATCCTTTGTATATAAGGACATGTAGAAAAAAACAAATTCTAAGACAATTTCATCTTCATTTACTAAGCTTCTGCCTTGTGCCGATAGAATTTCCATGATGGTACTCTTTCGTTTCTTTGTAGTCATGATACGATGGAAAATTTAGGAGTTTATGTCATCCTCCTCTAACCATCGTTTTTTACGTTTTTGCCTCCAAGATTGCTCTTCCTTTGTTACCAACTAGATAAGTTCTGCTTTCATGAGCTTTGTGTGTGTGTGTGTGTGTGTGTGTTGAAATGATGTGGTAAAGACAGCTTCTGCCATCTGATCAAGGAGAGCAATTTTGGTAAGGAGTTGGGTTCTTTTTTGTGGAAACACAACCGAAAACTTCCTTGTCCATTTCTTTAAAACTTCTTTTAGTCTTTTAAGTTTGAAGACGAAATCGAGCATCGGCCATCCATGGAGGGGTGTGTTCTTCTACTAGTATTCTACCATTGGCAAAAATTCAGAATGATTGAGCCACATATTCTCAAAATAGAAAGGCAAGGGACCCCATTTATAGCAACCCACGAAAAGTAGAATGGGATAATGATCATTTGTAGGTCTATTTAGTCTTCAAACAATGGCGTTACTGAATTTTCCAAGTAGGTCTTCTGTAACAAGAAATTTGTCGAAGAGTGTCAAGGTGGGCGGAGATCTATTGTTTGACCAAGTATAGAGACCATTATTGAGGAGAAAGAAAGGTCTATGAGATCGGCTTCTCTTATGAAATTGTTGAATTGTCTCGTGCTTCTGATGACTTTTCCACTAGACTTAACATGTGCCCACCGAGAGATATTGAAGTCACCATCCAAAGCCAATTCTCTGTGTAAAGGCAAGATAGGTCCTGTAATCTCTGCAAGAAGAGAGGTCTTTCTTGACTTCTACATGGGCATAGATCCCTGTAATCCAAAAATTGTAACTATCGACCAATGTAATTTGTGTGATTAAAGTGTATAGACATTTGGGGACTTCGAAGATGAGCAGAGTTGGTTCATTCCACATTTCCACATGATTAAGATCCTCCCCATGTTCCTGAGACATCCTAACTGTCCAACCAATATGTCTAGCACTCCAAAGGGATTTACCCATCCAGCGATCAACAAAATTCAATTTTGTTTCTAAAAGAATAACCATGGTGGGATTGTATTTGAAAGGAAGGACTTGATGAGGGCTCTCCTTTGCCAGTCTCCCAAGCCTTTAACATTCCAATAGATAATAATCATAAAAGGTATTAGCCACTCAAATGTGACTTGCTAGATTTTTCATAATTGATGTTTGAAAGGAGGCCAGCAATCTCTCTAGTCAGTTTTACTCTGTTTCTCGACTGTAGTGGGCTTCTTTTTCCCACAGATGGAATAGCCATGATGCACATGTGGTTTTCTTTTAGTCATGGTGCTAGGATTTGGATGACCATTGTTGGTGTGAGTTTCGTCGATATTGGGGTGACCTCTTCTGCCTCTATTTCATTCTGCTTTTCCTGAAAAAGAGTGACAAGCTCTGCGTTCGCATTGATAATCTTTGAATTCTTGATGCATATTCATCATTGAATTCTTGGTGAGAGCCGATTGTAGAGAATTTGTTCCTAAGACGAGGAAGGTTTTTTGGTTCTTTATGATGATGGCATGTTTTACGGGTGAGGCTGCCACAACTTGTGGATCGAGGATAAAATTGGTATAGTAGATGGGGTTTAGAGATTGGTGAAATGTGAGGTGAGGGCTGGTGGCCTTTGGTTTATGTGGGGAAGCTATGGGTTTATGGGCCATGGCCAATGGGGAGGGTGAAGTTGCTGGGTTTGTGGATGGGGGGTTGACTTATTATTGCCAAAGTTGGCTTGGAAAGTTGGGGGCGATCCATGGCAAATGGGAGTGGTTTTATCTTTTTAGGGCTTTGTGGTATGTCCACAGTCTCTATGATCTGTGATGTGTAAATCTGGAATTGTTGAGTCATACTGTACTTGAGGGGTCCCTTTAGGTGATGTGCCCCAGTGGTTTGACCAAGGATACAGTCAAGAATGCCTCCTAATATATATGTAATAACCTCGGTATCCTCTTTCTCTGGCGGCATGGAAACCAGCCATAGCATCAACAAATGCCAAATCTCAAATACACCAAAAGAAAGACATCAAACTACACCAAATCTCAAATCTCATCCACGGCCTATTTCAACCCAAGAAGGCTCTCTGATTTCAAAGAACAGCACAAAAGCCAGCTTGCCATAAAAAACTGCCTATCAAAATGGAGAATCAGAGACCGCTTCTTCTACTATATGTATGCTCACGGTAGGAACAAAAATTTTTCTGGAAATGACTCCACAACAAAGAAGCAAACAAAGCCATAACAAGTGGTTTAGATCTTCTAAAGGCCCCTTGCACATAAAGCACCAATTGAGGCCAAGGACAAAGTAAGGGATTCTAAAGGATAAAATCCAAGGTGTTAATAATTCTTCCTAAAGCCACCAACAAGGAAAAGAATGGAATTTCATTCTGAATTTCCTCTTCCAAAGTTCACAGAATATATGAGTAGATCCTCATTGGAAGAAAAATAAATGAGTAGATCCTCATTGGAAGAAAAATAAATGAGTAGCGAAAAAGAAGAAACTAGATGGTCACAAACACTTGCCAAACAAAAATCCTACAAAAATCAAGAGGCCATGCACATTCGTCACTAGGCCCAACTAACTCCCCGGCATGTTAGCTACTTGCTAAGAAGGACTTCCAGTTCTATTAACAAATTTTAGGGGAGAAAAAGTAAGGAAAGTAGTATATTAAACAAAAATGCATACCTTTAAGTAATGATATCGCAAGGACCTCAAAAAGTAAAGAGGTTATTATAGAGAACAAAATAAAGACCTGCATCACAATGGAATATTAATATAAATCTATTTAAGAAAAAACACATCACTACGGAAAAAGAACAAATAGAGTTTTGTTGTGATCCACTCAACTTAAAGATCATGACTAGTTCGTTCATTATGACATATTTTAATAAGATCCTGAAGAATGAATTGAATAAAAGTAAACTTACCGAGTATTTGTTGGAACCTATCTGTCTTTCAAATACTCTGAAGTAATAGAGCAGAAACAGTCCGAACATCAATTCAGGAGTAGATGAAAAGGCAAAAACTGACGTTACTAACTTCCAAATGCGAAGCTTCACAATCACATCCTGCCATAAGGATGACAATTAACTGGTCAAAAGTGTCCACCTACCAGGCAAATTAAGAGGTAACCCCTACTATGGAAAAGAGATAAAAATAAGTCAAATTTAAGTCCTGCATAAAAGGAATATATGCAACAAAGATGGAATAGAGTCAGAATGATAAAAATAATAATTCTACAAGTGGATCCCTTTACAACAGCTTATTTGAACTTGTGTCACTTCCAAACCCTTAAACAAAAACTTTCCACCTATCCTAGTAAGCTCCTCTCCAAAAGGATCTTCAGCTTCTTGTCTCCAAATCCTTAAAATCCTTAATACAACCTCCAATATTTACAGCAACGCAGAATAACATTGGAGAAAGGAAATTCAAAAGCTGCCCATCCACCCAAATGTCTTCTCAAATTTCAAATTTATCGTTGTCCCACCATCTTAAATTCAAAAACTTCTCAAAATTAGTTCTTAGCTATTTGATGAAAGACCTCAGTGGTACCAACTAATTTCTTCCTTTTCTTTCAAAAACAACCTGCCTCTTCTATCCCAAATTTGTTGACAATAACTTCGTGTCAAATTTCCTGAATTCGTGCAAAAAACTTCTAAACTATTTTTCCAATTACACTACATTCCCCTTTCTAATGTTCCAGTTCTTGAACCTGCCCTTTTTGCTCGGCCGTGATGTAATATCTCATCTCATTAGCTGGCTTAATTAAGAACTGATTGCACTTCCTTCATTTCACAAATTAGAACTAATCCTTATTTAAATTATGCTAAAAATATTACACATACAAGACTCTCAAAATGTCACGGAACGTACATTACGAATGCCTATTTGTTAAATACACTATTCAATTGCCGCATAGCCAACCACAAGGCTACTTCAAACACCCTCTCCTCCTCCAGCAACAAAGAAATTCCTTAAAGAGATATATAAAACAAACTAGAGCCTAAAATGGCAGGTGGCCACTATAATTCAGAACCAAAAATGCAGAGATCGATTTAACTAAGTCATTACAAATACATGAGGAAAAGATGATCCCCACGTTCAATTACCAGTCAATCAACTCGGCCAGTTCGATCTATAATCTTGGGACTGAAAAAGTAGCTTCCAGTCAACAACTATACGCACAATAAGTCGCGGAATGGATAGTCAAACACTGAACCAAGCAATAAGGCTCATTCAACCGAAGAAGCCAACCTACTCTATCCCGAGATAACCAAAAAAAAAAAAAAGAGGCACCAAAATCAACCCACAGTTGCCCAAAAAGCATCTCGCTAGTCTAAGAGAGAGAAGAGTACCTGATAGGACAAGCCAAGCTTAATTGAACGGCCTTGGATCCCAAAGAAAATGGTGAAAAGAGCGGAGGCGACGACGAAGCTCCGGGTGACAGGGGCATTGTCTGCGGACACAAAGATGAAGCAAATCGATCAAACAGGAAAGAAGAAATTGAAAAGGGAGAAAGGAGTAATATGGGTGGTTAAGCATTAGAAGAGAAGAGAGAATAGGGAATTTGACGAGAACTCACTGAAACCAGACGGGCCGCCGTTCATCGTCTTAGAGAGGAAGCAACGACCCGCTCAGACGGTCAGAGGCTTCTCAATCTGATTCCGATTCCGATTCCGATTTTGATTTTGAATTGTTGTCTGCTGGGAAGAACTTGGGAGTGGAACTCGATTTCTCTTCCGCCTTTCGGTTGGAAACAACTATTTCAATTCCTCTTCCTTTTCCTTTTCCTTGGGAGTTCTCCCCACCATACATAAATGTAAATATTTTATAAGCTAATAAACATAACAACAACAATAAAACTATATTCTTTCACAATATTTAATTATAACATTTTTCAAGTTCCCATTCCTAATTCATACTCCATCAATAATTACCAGGTTGATTTGCTCCAAGATCTCAAATGATCCAATGAAACGTTAGCTTAACTTCTTTTCACTCTCGAATCTGAGAACACCCTTTATTGGTGTTACCTTTAGAAATACTTTTGTCTCTCGACTTGAACTCTAGATATCTATACCTCACATCAACATAACTTTTTTGCTTACTTTAGGTTGCACGCATTCGCGCTCTTTATCTTTTGTGTAGCCTCATTATTCGCTTTGGACTAGGTTTGGACATAGCGACAAGCACACTGTGGATTCATACTTTTTCTCCATACAAATCCTCAAAAGGTGTCATGTCAATCATGGCTTGATAATTGTTGTTAAACGTGAACTCTAGAGATGTAAGTGAATGTCCTAGCTACCTAAAAATTCTAACATACAACCCCACAACATATCCTTTAGTGTCTACTTTAGACGTTCAGCTTCAGTTTGCCCATCTATTTGTGGGTGGAACATTATACTAAACTGTAACCATGTACCCAATGTCTATTTAATGCTTTTTCAATACTTCAAGGTGAAGTAAGGATCTCGATCTGACACGATGAATATTGGTACTCCATGCAATCTTACCACTTCTTTAGGTACCATTGAGCCAATTTATTCCTCGAATAGGTAGATTTTCTGATATAGTAACCCTAACCGGTTCAGTCTAAGAACCCTAATAAATACTTTAATATGCAAACTCGTAGTTCACAAATGCTAAAAAAAAAATTAATTAATTAAAATAATTTCGTTCAATATGATTCCAACTCTTGAGAATTTGATCTTGCAACTTAAGGAAGAATAAGAGCTTTAGATATAAGTATATCCAAGAATCTCAAAACTACATGGAATCACTTCAAGGCGAAATAAGATTTGAATGATCGTGTTGATCAAATATCTCAAGACAAAAACAATGGTTTGAGATTTGAATCACTTCACAAAAGTGAGATTGATCAAGTCAAGCTTGAATGATTATAAGTGTGCAACCTAAACTACATACAACTCATAGCCCTGGGCTAAAAAACACAAATGCTCTTTTTACTCCATTTTTCAAGTCCACTTTACAAATATAACATACATGGTTTTATATAGCCTCAAAATAAAACACGTTACAAGTATTTCAAGAGCTGTAACCTTCATATTTGATTACTATAATTAGCCACTATGCAGATGTAACCTTACATTAAATAAAAAGCGAGTACATTAATCAAAACCCCATGACTCTAGATTATTATCCCCAAAATTTGTAACCAATTAAGAATAAATGAAGTCCATGTTTCTTGAAGTTTAAATTTCATAATTGAGATGTCTTGGTTCATATCATCCGAACGGCAAGAAGTCTAAATTTAATGTCTAGCACAATTCTGACTAAAATGAAGGTGAAGGAGAATTCTTGTTTTGTACGGGGGAGTGAAAGTGTGAAAAGGTTCAATGCATGGTTATTTTCATATTCTTTTATCTCATATCTTTCTTTCATTTGTTTTGTGTTATGTTGACTCTACAAGTGTATCAATCACAACCCATATAACTGGGTATCCTTTGGTCATTCGGGAAAATCTCACGATTAAATCCATAGCGATGTTCTCCATTTTCATTTTGGCATACTACATAGTTGTAATAATCCTACAAGTTTTTATCTCAGAGTTTTGACTAGTTGACAAACTAGGCGTTTGCTCGTGAATTTAGCCACAACTTGCTTCATATTCCTCTACTAATAACATTACTTCAAATCTTGATACGTCTTGATACTACCTTGATGCATCGTGAATGCTGGGCAATGAGCCTCGGTTAGAACCTTTGTCCTTAGTTATGCATTACTAGGTACACGAAGTCATATGCACGTTATAAGAGTCCTATCGAACACGAGGAAACTCATGGGCTTATTTCATGACTAACAACATCATTTCTCAATCAATTCTTAATCCATATATTGTTTGTTGATCACACGGTCAATTATGGTAATTGTGTCATGACCTCCCCGATGACCATGACTTGTTCGACTTGCTTCAATTTCCTTTGTATAACTCGTTGCTTGGTGGTTAGTGTTGACATATGGTACTATCTCAATGCATATGCTACCACACTCAATTTTTTAGGGTGATATAGTATCTTTACGTCTTATTCCTTGACCACCTCTAACCATCTACGTCATAATTTCTCATGTACACGTGTGTATAATGTTGAGATTTATACCCTAAAACCTTGTAATTAATTAACTAATTAATTATAATATTTTATTTAGAGTTTAATATTAAGGTCGAATGACTTATCCGGGTAACACAATTGATACAACCCACTTTGTAATTATTACGAATGATTTGATCCAAATCCTTTATCAAGAGACATGTGAGTGGAGATATCCTATATAATAGGTTTGTATACGACTATTTCACAAAATATTTAATCTCTTTTTATAAGTCCGTTAATTTAAAAGATTAATATTTCACAGAATAATAATATACGACTCGAACTTAATTCTGAATGAGTTATGAACTCATGCACAGAAGACCTTATCTTTTTATTTGCATGGGTGGTAATGACTTTTGTGGCTAATTCAATATGTCTACCATTTTCAAGAGATCGAAATTTGCTCCTTCCAATATAAAATAAATAGATGAGTAGTTTTCGTAAGTGCTCATTTTAGAACTTGAACAATGAGATCCCACCATCTCATCCGCCCAAGAGAGACTTGGGTTATGGTTGGATCATAAACAAATTGTTCATTAGAAAATTAGTGGTAGCTAAGATATCTGATGTCGAAACAACCTACCCACGTCGCAAAGGGGATCATCGAGGACTGTACACATGAATAAGGTAAGCTTTCACACATTAACAATGTGCTTTGTCGTCGGAAAAGAGAGTTTGAATTGCGGATTGGTTGGCACTCACAAATCTCTATGTTTTAGGTGTTTACCATCCATAAAACTACAGGGAGGTGAAGAGGAAGGAGAAACGAATGTCGGGAATGACGTTTCAGGAAGAGAGAGAAAGTTTGTCAGAAAAATCGTGCGAATCGGGTGGAGAAGACGAAGCCTGTGGACTTCGGATCGGATCTGAATAGGGTATCCAAACCTGCAACCCGCCAACACCTCGGTCTAAGCCTGCGACCAGACCTCAACCCGAGGATGCATGTCTGCAACCCGTTGTTGGCTTTTTGGCTCTTGATCTCATTTTAATTAATTTTAATTAATTGATTGATGTTTTGATGATAACAAACCTACTTTTAATCATGAATTATTTTCAGTATTTTAAACTGTCCACAAGTATAAGGTTGAGAATAACGATTTAAATGACTTTTCAATTACTCAAATCAAAGCTAAAACGAAGAAATTACAGTCGAGACAACATACCCGACGTGATGATGTGGAAGCAAAATCAAAATGATACAAATGAAAGTATATCAAAGTATGACATTTATAATTTTGAAAAAGTAACAAAGGGTGGAGTTTATCTTATTATTATATTTCTTTATTTATAATAAATAAAATTATTTTTACAAAATATAAATTTGAATCTTACCGTTACTTACATCGATTTTTATTATTACTATATTATATTATTATATTTCAAAATTTTTGTGGTTACTCATATCGTTTTTATTATTATTATATTATTATATTTATAATAAATTTTGAAATTTTAATTTAACCGTTACTCACATACTTTTTTTATTATTATATTTATAATAAATTTTGAATTTGTCATTGGACCTTTACTGTTTTTATTATTTTTATATTATATTATTATTATATTTAAAAAATTTAAATAAATAAATTTGAACATTTTTCTTATTTATTTACTTTTAATCTCCACCTTCCATTATTCCTAACACAATCAATGGTCAATATTAATTCCCACATTTTGCCACTTATGTTTTTGTATAAACTCATTAACTTCCCTACATTTTCAACACAAACTTCCATCCTCATTTGTTGAAAGTCTCCATTGTTTGTTGCTCTCCCCAACCTTCCAATTTTATTTTTATTATCTTATTTTTAAGAGGGATTTTTTTTATTGTATTGTGAGAAAATAGTTGTGAGGGCTTTAAACTGTAAATCTACTCTTTGAGAGAGTTGTGGTATGTTACTACCAAATTCAAATATTTGTACCGGTTTGATCCTACGCTATGGAAAGAATTGAGTTTGCTCTTGCACTCGTAAAAAGAGCGGTGTAGCAGTTTGACTCTGATCCATGGAAAGCGTTGAGAAAGTTGTTTATTCAAATTCCCACAAGAGGCGCGTGGGGAGTGGAATAGGTCGAGTTTGACCAAACCACTGTAAAACTACGGTGTCATATTTTCTAACTCTTTTCTATTTAATTTCAAAATTATTATGGTGATTTATTGCATATTCTACTTGATTATTGTTTTGACTTGAATTATTTTGTTCGAGTAATTATCATCTCCTGCTTATTTGTAAAAAGTTTATCATTAGAAAAATTAATCACGTTTAAACATTTTTATCGTTAAAACCCTATTCACCCCCCCCCCCCT